GATGTGTTGTCTTGTTGTGTTTTGTTTGTGTTTTGTTGTTGTCTTGTTGTTGTCTTTGTGTGTCTTTGTGTGTTACGTTGTGTTTGATGTGTTGTCTTGTTGTGTTTTGTTGTGTCTTGTGTGTCTTTGTGTGTCTTTGTGTGTTACGTTGTGTTTGTCATGTGTTGTCTTGTTTGTGTTTTTTGTTTTGTTTTGTCTTGTTGTGTCTTGTTGTGTCTTGGTGTGTTACGTTGTGTTGTGATGTGTTGTTTGTTGTGGTTTTGTTGTGTCTTGTTGTGTCTTTGTGTGTTACGTTGTGTTGTGATGTGTTGTCTCGTCATGTGATGTGATCTGATGTGATGATTAATGATGTCACATAATATCAGGTCATGTGATGTGAGCTACATTTTGTTTCATCAAAATGAACTTTTTGGTTCATTGAATGTCCCAGCGTCTCTTTGATTCATTCCCTCAGCGGACAGGTGGGATCTAAAAAAGGTGAGTTTGATTCCTACACAATGTTTGTTTTCAGCATGGAATCCTTTTTGATTCTTTTTTGTTTGTTTTTTTCCTTTAGGAACAGGAGGTGAAATCTAAAGAAGAGCCGTGAACAACAGAACAGAGGAGACAGGAAGCAGCACAGAGGACACAGACAGGATGAGGCTGAATGAACAGACCGACAACGAGAGAGAAGAAGAAAAGATGAGAGACAAGTGTCAATGGTAACTTCATGAAAACAGCTCTGACTATATTCATAAGAAAACATGGCTCACTTTGAGGAAATTTCTCTGACATTAGATGAACTTCATTTGATTTGTGATGTATGTTCACTAAACCATTGTTTGTTTGTTTCAGCTGAGACCTCAAAGCAAACAGAGGAGTCCATTTAAGAGGAGAACGGACGAGTTTGGAGACAACAAGAGGTCGGCACCATATTTAGAATCAGCTGCAAAAACAGAGTTTGCAAATCAAATCTGAATAAATATAGATCTCAACTGTTGGTATTTTCTTTTTATTTTGATGTAGGGGTCATTTATATATCCTTAATAATATCACCTTATTAAGGAAAAAACAGGTTTTCTGAAAAATGTTTAATATCCTGACTCTGAATTATTTACTTTTAAGTTCATGTTTTGCTGCTGTTATCATACCCAATATGATGCAATCGTGAAATCCAACAGAGGAGTTGATCAAATTTCCAATTTCAAGTACATATTTGAGATTGTGAGAACACAAACATTGTGAGAACAAGGTGAGAGAGAGCGTCTGTCCTGAGAAGAGGATTATATGGATGAGGACTACACCGGGCCAAGGTGCAGCTCATCCCCTGATTACGACCCCGCCTTGACCTGAACCTGTAACAGAACAAACAAGCAGCACGGTGTGGAGGGCTCAAAACAAACAAAGAAACAAAGTGTTTTTAACGACACGTTGACAATATTTGCTGTAAAAAAAGAAAAAGGTCTATTCAATCTTCAGGAACTCTTTTTCACAACAAAGTCAAAGAAATGATTACTCGTGTATTAATCCTTGTTTCTTTCCAACACACACAAAGATGTTCTTTGTGTTCAAAACAAATAAACTTCTGTAACAAATATCCCCTTTCATAGCTCTGATTTCCAGGAAAATGATTGTGCAAGTCCAGGACATTACAGACCAACTGCATTAAAATGTGCACAATAATGGAGAAGATGATCAATTACATGTTTACATGGTAAATAAAGGATACATGTGTAAATGTGGTTTAAGGAGAGGATCCAGCTTAATGTTTGGAACATGATATTAGGAAAGTACATGTAAGCAGTAGATTGAAACTAAGACACAATAGGAAATAGACAATGGGAAAACATAAGATAAAGAAAGTTCAAATTACGAGGTAAAAAATGTTGGCCAAATGAGAAAAGCCAAAGTCAAAACAGTGTGATAAAAAAATGAATTGAGATAGAAAGTCAGATTTACATCAAAATGTAAAAAATGTCACAAGACAACAACCATCATTCTGAAATGTAAAAAAATCTATCGCATGTCTACGACAGTGTCACAATATTAACTCACAACGGGAAACATTTCCATCTTAAGCAGGGTCCTGTGTTTTGTTGATATTTGCTGAATTTTCAAAAAGAAAATACTACAGTAGTTCAAATGGAATAAAAAGGTCCTTGCACATCTTAAAAGTTTGCCCATGAAGGCAGAACAGCAACAAGGCAGGACTAAGCCTTGCACAGATGGGCAAGAAACTGTCAGGAAGTGGAAAACAAGGAACTGGACCCAAATGCAGATATGGAAGTAAAATATTGAATTAAACAAAAAGACAAAAAAAATAAAAATAAAAAAAAGTTCAAAATCCGAAAAGGGAAACAAGGAGCCACTAGGCAAACACTGGGAGTCACTCAGAAGCACAGGTAAGTATTTCTTTTATTATTATTATTATTATTATTATTAGGTGCAATAGCGTGACAAACTGGGGACATATGACAAAAAAACAAACAGACAAGGTCAGGACAGCTATGACAAAATACAATAAAATAAATAAAGACAGCAAAATACTGAGACATGCATGAGTTGCATATGAAATATATAAATCAGTATGAGCATCTATAAAGAGCTATATGTTGATGTTTGGAGCCATGGTGACTGGTGGTCTTCTATATTCTAAATAAGTATCTTAAGAGATATAAGTTTTATCTTTGCTATCATGAATTACATGAACTACATACCTCACTGTGATTTCACTGAGGTATGTAGAAATGATGACACATGGCATATGAATACAAGGGGGTTTGGCTACATATTAAACCCATCCTACGATTTCATTTTTGTAGGAAAATATGCAGCAAACAAGGCGTTGGTACTTGGATTGGCCGGCTCACGGACTAATAGAGTTCACTGATTGGCTCACTTACAAACTCATCAAATCACTCAAAGACAACAACAGAAATTTAACCTTTAGAAGTGACTTGATCAGACAGCTAGATATGATTGTATTTGTTATGTTTCACTCATCTTCTTTAGGCTTAAAATGATATCTAACTATCTTTCAATAACTTTATATTTTGAGTTACACCTCCACTGCATATATGTTCATTTTAAAATAAAGGAATGTGTCATAGTTAAACCTGGGCTACACTTAACAATATCATCAAGCAGACGTCCTAAAGAAACATTATAGTGTTTTTTTACCCAGCCATTCATTCCACTCTATCACAATCAGGTGATCTCTTAGCAGGTCCTCTGTGTGATTCCCTGAGTCTTCCGATGGTCTCCTTCTAATTAACATTAACTTAAAGGTTTGGAAAATAAAGTGTTTTAAATACTGTTATTGGTGTGTCAACAATTAATCTTATAGAGGTCATCTATGAAACATTTAATGGGGGGCACAAAAATGGCGTGGATAATAATTGTAGATGGTTTATAAACCAATTATTAATCATTGATAAAATATTAATTATCTATCTAAAACATATTTATAGATGCTTTAAAAAGTATTAGTAAGGGATTATAATCTTCAATTCCAACTTTATAATAACCATCCAAATAATGTTAATAGACACTTAAAAAATATTTACAAACCATGAAGAAATATCTGGTCCATGTATCTCTGTAATGTTTATAGATGTTTTCTAAACCATCTCTTAAAGGTTTATAAATCATTTGGTCATCATTAACAAACATTTCATAAAATGTATGAAACGTTATAATGTGTGCATCAATAAACTGTTAACATAACATAAATTATAGCATTACAAACCATTAGCAAACATTATTAACAATCATTTAATTGTTAATTAACAGTAAATAACTATTAACTAATGGTTAATTTACTATCTATTTACCCTTTTTTACCCTTTATAGATGATGGGTATTATAAAGTGTTACCCAACACTTTTATATGTAATGAAGTATTTTTACAGCGTTGTATTAGCACTTTGACATACTGTCTGTAAAGGATCTGAACATCTGCCACTGGTTTTAGTTTCAGGCCGTGTTAGAACTTGAACAATCTGAATTCATGTAGAAACAGAAAGATATAAACCTGATCATATGAAGGCTGCTGCCTGATCATTGTGTTTTTGAATATGCTGACTTAAATTAAAGGTAAACACTCCACAGTGCATACCTGAGTCAAACTGCTTCCTCATCTTCAGAAAAGGATTGTGCGCCTACTAAATCTCTATAAATGAGTCAAATTACATCATTTGATTCAAAAAACACAAACAAAGGCTTGAACGCTCCCGTTACTGTGCTGCAGAGCAAACTGTCCCCCGGTGCTTGTTGCACATATTTAAATGAGCAGTTATGCAGTGCACAGATATTCCACCACAGGGCAGAAGAAATGCACCATAGGACCTGTGTTTGGCACATCAGAAATAGCAAAAATCCACCAGAGACACAGATGTGATTTACATGGATATTCTTGCTAATTTGGAAAAAAATGAAAGCAAGGCAACATTCAAATTGAAACTGAAACTTTGTTATTTTCTGGATTCATTTTTAATATGAAACCTGTTGTAACACAATAACACATTAATGATTGGATGTTTTCATGGATTACTTGCTCATGTTTTTCCTTTCCTTATTAATTTCCCCTAAAAACTGATACATTTGGAAAAGAAATACAAAAACCTTTCTATTTTGGCTTTATTTTTTAGATCGTAAAATCATAAAGAAACTAAAAATGCAACAAAATGATTTTGTTTTTAAATATATTCTAAATCAGTATATTACATACATAAATGCTGTAAATGTGTCAAATATGATACAAGACCAAATGTTTAAATGCAATGAGTATTTCATGTTCTTTTTTTTTTTAAAAGGTCCAACAATGTCTCCAGATTCAAACAATTTTCTGATAATTGTTTTGATGTTTGAGGACCAAAATAGTGACTAAGAAGGAGTTGGGACGGTGCACAATTCTTTTTTCGAAATGACCTTGTTCTTTTGATTAAAATAGACTGTCAGTTCAACAGTGTCCACCAGAGGGAGCTCAACACTTTGCTCTGTCAGTAGATCAGACTGATGACATCATGCCAGAAGAAACATGAGAGGCATCAGGCTGGATTCAATGATGACACATGGGTAAGTGTAAACAGCTGTGCATTTAAAAACATATGGATAAACCTTGATAAAGGAAATGACTTATATATATATGAATAAATAAATAAATATGTTGTTTTAACAATAAATATAAGATGAACAAGAAGCAAACAACTGAAAAAAGACAAAACTGAAGTCCTGCTGTAAGTTTTCTTTAAATCTGTTTTCATCCAATATTTTTCTCTGTTGAAAACAAATCTCAGAAAAGAGTAAAACCCAAAAGGATGTAGGCTGGAGTGTTCAGACACAGCATGAGGTGCTGAGCAGCCTGTGAAAAAGATTTCTCAAACCGAACACAGACATGTTCTAAAAGCTTAGAAAAATAATTTCCTCTGCCTCCATAAAGAGCCATCTGTGGTCAGTTCGGCACAGATTCCCACTGAGCTCTGTGTGACTGCTGTGTAATTAGCTCAACATGTCGCCCACAACGTCTCAGCAATATGGAGATATGTTGGCCTTTTATGAATTATCATATCAGCCAGTCATCCAACTTATGTAACAGAGGTTTCTGCCGGACCACAGTACCAAAAAATAAAACCTTAATTAACTGATTTAATGACATTCTTATGTCTCTGGGTGAAAGGTTTTTTTTTTTTACTTTCGTGCAACCTGTGGACACTACTACTTCCCTGCAGCTGAGATTTAAAACTCACCTGCCTATGATCCACCTGCTATTCTCCCTGAGGACCTTTGACTTGGTTCTTTAAGAGAAACCTGAAGCCCTGCTCAGTCACCATATGAAAAGCCTCTGTTCTGGTCCTGCATACTGGTTGGTGACCGCAGAAAGAGGGGGAG